TCATTCTAATCTTAGGAACAGCTATGTCTTACTCTCACTCATTACTTTGAGTATACTAGGAAGAGTGCTATCCACCTGAGTAACAGCTCTACGATAACTCTAAAAATAAAACGCTCTCCTGTCATGTCATGTTATAATACTGATACGACCATATACCACAAATCTGGCTTTCTTGCCATCTCATTCTAATCTCAGCAACAGCTATGTTAGTCCCACTCTTATACTACATAAGCAGTGCCGCCTCGATAACTCTAACACTTGGACGCTCTCTTGTCATGTCATCTTATGTTCGTGATACGACTTATACAACAAAACTCACATAGTTTAAACATACATTTCTTGGATCATTTATCAATAAACAAATATCTTTAGTTACACACCATTTGCATTCCGAGCAGGCAAATTAGCTTGTTATGCATTTGCAACAAGTCATTTATTGTTGGCAAATCTCTTTCGAGAGTCTACTTCAAATATATAAATATTTTGTTAAGCAAATAAAGTGATTTTGTGCGAAATTTCATTAACTTTACTTGCGGCAGTCGAGCTTGGCAGACACTGAACGAGAGAGCTTCATCCATCTACTGGCAACAAAATTAATGTTCTAAAACAGACAGACCATTTAACCCAACAAAACGCTGAGGCTGCTGCAGCACAAACAAACCACAAGCTGCACTCATCACTTGCAGCTAACAACGTCGCCAATTTCTAATCCTGTCTCTGTTTCACTCTCTCTCTCTCTCTTTCTCTGTCTCTCTCAGTCTTTGGCTTTACCACAGTTAATTTGTTGTACAAACCCGCACACAAATAAAGCAGTCAGCACACAAAACAGCTGCAGCAATCGTTTGCTTTGAGCCAACAGGCAACTCTTTATAGCAGCCGCTGGCTGCTGACTGTTTTTCAAATTTACAGCACGTCAACGGGCAGCAGCCAGCAGAGAGCAGAGCAGAGCAGAGCTGGGCATCAGCTACAGCCACAGCTGCAATTGCCGCACCCACGCACAGGACGCCAACGTCCTTTGGCCAGTTGGAGCTGCAACCACATAACATTAACCATAAATGTCAGCAGTAGATATGAGTTGACTTTGGACGCTTGGTTTTAAATCGCTCACATATTACGCATACGCCATGTTGTTGTGCCAACAAATTCAAAAGCTACCATTGACTGCACACAGTAATGGCAACTACTAACACAATAGCAAAATAATATTGTCATGGCCGAAAGCTTGACGGAAAGCTGTTATTAGATGGCCAATGCCAAATTAGTTCCCTTGAGTTGAAAGTAAATGAAGCTCTGTGAAGAGCAAAATGCACCTGAGGTGGAATCTGTAAACTTTAAATGATAAATAATCATTAAGAATAAATTGCATAGGTTTCTGCTTTAAATCATAGTAAATAGTTGCATTCATGCACAATTAAAAATTTATTATTAGAACGACATAAGTACAGTAGAATCTGGTTATAACGACTCCGCTTTTTTAGTGCCCAGACGGCTATATCGCCTTCCGGGTATAACGACGGTCCCTTGAATGTCGCTAAAACCGCATTCTACTGTAATATATATTTCATTTTTTTTTTATTTCACTTCATATTTATTTGAAATTTGGTGGATGAGAATTAACGTTTATTAAATATATATTTGTATTA